CGGGTGCGGGGTAAAAACCGTTTTTTTTACCCCGCATTAAAAACGGCCTTGTGCCACATCCTGTCATGCTTTATAGGTAAATATCCTTGCTTCGGCAATTAGTTGGAGAATCGTCTCCAACTGTTCTGGTCGAACTTTCTGCTTTCGGGCGGAGAGGAGCCCAGACGGGCCTGTGCCGAAGGGCAGGGTCTCGTCTGGGATGGTAGATAGTTACCCGACATCATGTATACGGGACCTACGGGCAATTTTTACCCGTGCCTATGGGCTCGGTTTTTCCCCCCGCATTAAAAAGCGGCCTTGTACCACATCCTCCCTCGTGGGGAGGGAAGGTAAATATCCTTGCTTCGGCAATTAGTTGGAGATTCGTATGCTCGTCGAACTCTTTGCCTTTTGGCAGAGAGGAACCCAGACGAGGCTATGCCGAAGGGCAGAGTCTCGTCTGTGGTGGTAGACAGCTACCCGACCCCGTGTATACGGTGTCTATATGGAATTTTTGCCCGAACCTACGGTCTCGGCTTTGCCCCGCATTAAAAAAACGGCCTTGTGCCACACCCTGCTTCGCGAGGACGTAAGGTAAATATCCTTGTTTCGGGAATTACTAGACTGCTAACCGATACCCTGTCTTTCTGTAGTGTAATCTCTTTTACAATAAACCTCTCTTGCTTTTAACTACGTCCGTGTTGCTGTTCCTTTCACTCGAGTACCACCTTGTCTGTTTGTTACCTCTTTAAGAATACAACACACATATAACTCGAAGAGAAAATAATGACATAATCAAGATGCCGACATTCCACTGTACTTCGAACAAAAGGTTAGGAAGGAAACCCCCATCAATACTAAAAAGAGCGATAACAGCTACTGAAGTTACGAAAACTATTTTCCTGAAAAAATGTTTTAATAGAGAGATTTTATAAATTTCAACCAACAGCACTACTGGCTGCTTGGTCAAAGGATCCCGGATGTTTCCTTATAGGAAAACGGCAATTATTAACATTACCAAAATAAGTATCTTGAATTTATTTATTGAAATTATTTTACATTGAATATATCTTTACTTGAAATGCATCAACTTGAGTCACTTTCAATATAGAAAAAGACATCAGCAGGTTTGATATGAACGTCAACGGTTTTAAGGCCAGGCCGAAAGGGTTTTTGTGCGTCATATTTTAAAAACCGAATCGAACATTAAAACTGAATGTAGATCGTGCGCAGAGTTGAAAAGATGGTAGTAACAGGGCTATTTTGTAAAAATGTCTGCCAAAGAAGTGGTTGTAACAATCAGATCGGGAAGAAAAAAATCCAAGCGGAAAATCTGATTAACTTTCAGTTTTGCCTGCAGCAACTGTTATAAAGTTTCAAGAGAAGACGAGCAAGAGGAAAAAAAAGATAGATAATTACAAAAGATCGTTATAATCATGTTTTCTTCTTTCTTTCTTTCTTTCTTTCTTTCTTTCTTTCTTTCGTTTTCAGTCACAGCTTTCATTTCTTTTTTTTCTTTCTTTTTTTCTTTCTTTCTTTCTTTTGTTTTCAGTCACAGCTTTCATTTCGTGTTTTTCTTTCTTTCTTTCTTTCTTTCTTTCTTTCTTTCTTTCTTTCTTCGGTTACTGCTTTTTTTATTTTACATTTTTCTTTCTTTTTTTTTCTTATTTAATTTCCTCCATGTTTTCCTTTAGCCTTTAACTTTCTTTTCGTTTAGGATTTTCTTTCTTTTATTTTCTGTTACCGTTTTCTTTTCATCCCGTATTTTCACTTCTTTCTTTCTTAATATTTTTTGTCAATCTTTCTTTCTTTCTTTCTTTCTTAATTTCTTGCTAAAAACAAAGTAATACAGAAATTTAAAAGATTTAAAACTTTAAAAATTATTCTAATTAAAACTTAAAAATATGAAAACAATTGTTGTACATTATTCATCGAAAAAAAAATTTTCAGACAATAATGACCATAATATATTTTATTCGTAAAAGCAATAAAAATGTCTTAGTTTTATTGCATTTTATTTCTATATTTTACGATTCAGAGCAGATTTTCGGGAAGTGGAAGGACGGGGGTATGTCCTGATTTACTTAAAAAATTGATGATTTAAAATTTCTAAGGAATTTTGCTTATAATTAATGTAAACATAAAGCGATACAAAAATGAATTTCTCGAAATTTCATAAAATTAAATAAGGTTGGTAATAGATGAAAAATATTTTAACCAATTTTTTCTTAAAAAAAATTACTAAAATAATTCCATTCATTTTTGAAAGTTTCATTAAAATCCGAGAATTATTTGATTTTTTTGAAGAATTTCCAAATTAATGTGTTTTTCATCGAAAAACAAAAAACAAAAAACAAACAAAAAACAAAAAAAAATCACGCAAAAATTTTCTATACTAATCTTTGGCTCCTCCGCTGATGCAAGAAAAGCAAAATTCTAACCAAAGTTTCAAATGGGATTGTATTATTGTATTATATGTTTAAATGGGATAAAACATATAATATGATAATCAAAAAAGTCT